AATCAATCGTATGGATTTTGAAAAATTTTAATTTTTTCAAAAAATTTCAAAAAACGTGCAAAGTGCAGCACGCGTAAAACTTGCACGCCAAAATAAAAAATTTATTTTAACCATCAAATTTAAGAAGATCACTCTAAAACATTTTGCAAACTATTCTTATCATTGCCAGCTATGTTTTTCTTTAAAAAATTTTTTTTTAAATGTCTAAATTTAAAAAAAATTAATTTGTTTATACATTTTTTTTATTTTTTTAAGAAAAATTAAAAAAAAATTTTTTAACAGCATTTAAAAGATGAACAAAAACTGAACTTTTTTTGTCCTAACGAAATTTTTGTAAATCCAATAATTTTCAAGTTTTAGGCCATTTAAAAAATGTCTACTTTTCAAAAGTCAAATTTTCAAAAATTCGTAACTCCGAAATTTGTCCACCCAAAGACAAATAAAAAAATACGTATCCATTTTTTTTCACTAAAGAATGAAAAAAAAATTGTTTTGGCAAATTTAAAATGTGAACTGAAATCTGACCTGGAATTGCCTATATATAATTAGGGGAGGGTAGGCTACATTGAACCGGATATTTTATAAAGTCCAAGAACTAATTAAATTGTACAAATTTCGATCAGGTTTTTGTATCAAAATTAAGCTGAAGTACTCCTTTAGTTAATACACACGTTACAAACACAAATTATTATGATTAAATAATTTAATTTAATTTTTTTCTAACAAGTTACACTTATCTTATTTTGAAGGATCTGTGTCTACATTGAACCACCTCTAATAAAACACTACAATTTACCTCAAAAATTATATTTCCACTTACACATTGTAAAAAATCTTATTTTTCACTCAAAAAAATAGAAAATTGTTGTTAAAGAGTTATTATTTGTTAATATAGGAGATTAATATATTTTGATGTCAGGTTAGGTAGGTAAAGTGACAGTTTTGAGTTTATCTCGTTCACAATTGTGATGAAAGCATGTCTTCCAGTATTTTTTTTTACTAATTTGTAGAGCAGACAACTTTACAACTCTTAAAATTGAAAATTCTTTGCTTTTTCGGGTGGTTCAATGATGCCGCACTCACTGTATTCACATGACATTTACAACAAAAATTGTTTATAATAAATTTATGTAAGAGTTAAAATTCTTTATCACATCGGAATATTGAAGTTGACATCCTAAGCGAAATAAATCACAAGTTTACTAATTTTTAAAACTTCCTATTTCAAAAAAAACTTGATTATATTTCCACAAAATTTTTTGTTTTGTAAGTGAAAAACAGTTTTTTTAGTTTTTCTTTATAAATAATAAACCAACGTGCCCGAAATTTTTGGACATAGTTTGTTTCAGTAAAACTAACTTATATATTAAATAAGAAAAAATTCCACTCAGTCATTTCTCAGAAAATTGAAGTGGTTCACTGTTGACGCTGGTTCAATGTAGCCTGCCTACTCTCCCCTATGTTCTTTTCTATCCCATTCTACACTTCCCAGCACACAGCACCGACATTTCTTGTGCGAACAGCTTTAAAGGTTCAGGCGTTTTACTTAAACCTTTTGTACATTATTAAGTATCATTTTAACAATATTTTGTAATTTTTTATGTGAAAATGTCGACAAACAAGCCGGTGACAAAGCTTTTCCAAAAACATCTTTGAAAAAGACGATTTGCGGTGTTCACTGTATCTCAGCTGAAAATTATTTAAAATCGAAGTATCATCAAATGCTGACCCCAACGTTCTCTGATAATAATTTTAATCATTTTAAAATTTTTTGTGGCAGTGAAGACGGAATTGAAAAAGTCGTCAATGAGAAAAGCGCGTTTAACCATTGCCATTGAAAGTGTTAACCTTGACCTTGACTGTAGAATTAGTAGGGTATGTCCTGGGAGATGGCCATAGTTTTTTTAAAGGATTGTAAAAATTATAAAAAAGCGTTTCTTGTCTTAACTTTTATAGATAATTAAACATTGAATACTTAACTTTAAAATGACGAAAAATAAAATAAAATATTTTCATAGAAACAATCTTAAAATTTACATTTTTCAAAAAGTGCATTTGGCCATCTCTCCCGTAATGCCCGGGTGAGATGGCCAATACTTATAATTTTTGGCTTTTAGCTTAAACTTAATTTTTAATAAAAAAAAATAATAATTATAATTATTATTATTATGAGAGTCTTGGGGTGCATGTAGCTCAGTGGTCAGAGCAGTCTACCGGCAATAGAAAGGTCGTGGGCTCGTATCCCACCATGCTACCGTTTTTTCTGAGTTCTTTGATAATTTTGAAATTATTAATTAATTTCGAAAATATTTTTCAGATTAAGCAGGTTTCTGTATTCGGGCAGCTGTGCTGTCGATACATATGAAATTTGTGAGCTTATTGAGATTTATTTAAGATATTTAATTTAAAAATTAATTTTTAATCGTTCACATTACTTTCCTCTTTTTCTGGTTGCATTTTGAACATTTTTAATGCAATTGAGTGCAGTTTTCAGATTCTGTAATATTTCTTGAATATCTAAAATTAACATAAAAAATTGAAATAAAAGTCACTTATGGTCATCTTACCCAATAAAACATGACAGTAATAAATATCAAAATATTAAATAAATAAAATACTTTCTCCCTTAATTTTTTGATTATATCAAAGAGTAGGTATGTACTACTCAATGAAATTTAAAATTATCTAAAATAATATAAATATAACAATAAGAAATCTGAATTTCTCAAACTTTTTTGGGACCATGTAAAAAAATAAAGAAGGATTCTACTTACAATTTTAATATTTTTTAACAAATTATTTTTTACATTTATTATTAGTCACAAAAGGTTGAACCAATAATAAGTGATACTTTTGTACAAATTCTGTAAAATATTTGAATTGGGCATCTCTCCCGTATGGCCATCTCCCCTGGACTTACCCTATATTAATTTCATATTTAATAAACGAATGAAAATTAATTTTTATAACTTTGAAACAGTAATTGGCTAGTTACTAAAAAAATATAAACAATTAAAAATTCAAAAATCGATTTCTGGGAATCTTTTAGAAATTTTATCCCCTTTAATTTAAGATCAAGAACATCAAAATCCATTAAAATTTGTAGGCTTTAGACAATTTTGAACAGTAAATAATAAAAAATCTCACTGTGCGCTGCGCAAGTTTAACGTCTTGTAAGTCTCTACACTGCTGCAGTTTTAAATAAATAACTTTTTTTAATTGGTGGTCATTTTTTTCCTCTATGGGTTTTAATAATTTACTATACTTTCACAGAGTAATTCTGGATGTAATTCTGGATACATGGATCTTGAGGCCAATGCCTTAGGATCCATTTATTAATTATTAATAACTAGATCTTTCTAATAAATATCAACGAACAGGGATGAATCCTAGTAATTAACAGCAATCAAATCAACAATTTTAGATGACTGGTTAGCAATATCAACAACCATTGTTCAATTCCAGGTAGATTCTGGAATTTAAAGTAGATTCTGGTCTTTAACAACCATTGTTGAGTTCCAGTCTTCACCATCACCAAGCAGTGTTGAATTCCGGTCATCATCAACAACAACCGTTACTAAATTACAGTTATCAACAACTAGTAGATCCTTTAAATCAACAGCGGTCCATTGAACAAAAATTTCAGGCAAATGAAAAACGTTTTGAAACATAAAATTTATTGAAACTAAAATTTTTTTCTGTTCATTTTCTGAAAGATAAAATTATCAAAAGAACAAGATATTTCAGAAGTCGTTTGGCCAATAATTTATTTATATATTTTTAAAAAATCGTCATTTTCAATGTTTTACAAAAATTTGAATAACTTCTAAAATAACGAACACTTTTTAATGATCTTAAGCTTATTTTAAAGGTCATTTGTGATACATTATAAGGATTACTTATAGACATTAAATTAACATTAACATTAACATTAACGTGTAATTTTTTTCTTAGAAAATGCAGGCCGTCAAACTTGGACCAAAAAATTTAAAACAATTTTATTAACAGAAAAATAATTTGTTTTCTTTCAAAAAATATAAATAAAAAAATTTTAGTTTCCATACATTTTATGTTTTAAAATGTTTTTCAATCACCTGAAAATGAGTGGTATCTCAATTATGACCGGTAGCGTAAAGTAAATTTTTTATGGCAATTATATATCTTTTTTATAACTCAGTCATAAAAACGGCGTGTTTTGTAACTCCGGAAATAAGTAGAAAACTGCCTTTTCTCGAACAGAGCGTCATAAGCGCTCTTGTTCGTACGGAGTGCAAATAAAAGTACCCCAGAGTATGAAAAAGAATGTAATATAATAATAAGAATGGAATAATGTAACGACTGCGATGAACCAAGTAAGATAAAATTATTTGCGCAGGCGTAGATATATATATACACTACCATCCACGAGTATCAGGACGATTACACGCGACTTTATGAAAAAAAAGTGCGATCACTTTTTTAATCATATCTCGGAAATAAAAGAGATACAAAAAAACTTAAATACGGTCAGAAAGCTTATTAAATTATTAAGCTTATTAATTCTGCGTAAAATAAGCCGTCTTTGAAGTCATTTCGTTAACTATTTTTAGAGTTGTAGAGTAAGAAAGAAATAAAAAAAATTATAAAATTTTTTCAACGAAATGACTTAAAAGATGGATTATTTAACGCAAAATTTAATCAGCTTTCTAACCGTATTTAAGTTGTTTTATCTCCTTTTATTTCCGAGATATGATTAAAAAAGTGATGGCATGTTTTTTCATAGAGTCGCGTGTATCCGTCGCGTCAGGTCCTGATACTTGTGGACGGTAGTGTATAGCAATAGTTATGGACAGCACTACCAACTTAAGATTCGCTAGAACTCTAAAAATCTCTATGATTTCGCTATCATTGTCAAAACATTTCGTCAACATAACCTCACTTTTTTTGATCAAATATCAGTGTTTAAAATCGAGATTTAATAATTAATAATGTTTCTCGAAAAGGAAAGCACTGAATAGGGAGTAGTCAATGAATAAAATATAGTTTTTACACAAACTTAACAATAATTTATTATAAAAGATTAAAAGTTTAAGATGCAGCTAAAATCACTTAAGTGGTTAAATAAATAAATAAAAGTCTAAATTTAGTTAAAATGTTGGTCTTTAAAAGAGGCATCACTTTTGTTTCGTTTCACAATCAACCACCTTCCTCGCACACTTGCTAATACTAATATTCTGAGAAGCTTTACAATTCCACGAAACGCAACGAAGAAACAGACAGCATGGATATAGTATAATTTAAGGGGTAAAATTCACTCTCAGAATCATTCTTAAACATACCGCTCGCCTCGTGTGCCTTACATCACGAAATAATAAAACAAAGAAAATATTAATAAACAAAATTAAATTATGCAATTTTAGCCGCCCGCCATGACCTAACAAATAGAAATAATATAAAAAATAAAAGAAACATAAAATATTTAAGAAAACAAACAAGTGTCAAGTTAACACAAATATAAATTTCACTTAACACTCTTCTGAGTTACTTAACCTAACAGGTAAAAGACACAGCTTTACAATGGGTCGATCAAACTCTGAATCAGCTGTTTTAACTCGAACTGAACGAGTAAGATTATCTTTTCCCGTATAACATTTCATAATGCGACCTAAAGTCCATTTACAAGGAGGCAAGTTATCATTACATACAAGAACCATGTCTCCTACATTTAAATTTATCATTTTATTAAACCATTTATATCTCTTTTGTAAAGAGTGTAAATAGTCTAAGGACCATTTTCTCCAAAAAATTTCCGTTAAACGTTGAACCAATGACCAGCGTTTTAATCGATTTTCGGGTACAAACTCCAGCGAACACTCTGGTAAACTCAAAAGAGGGGCACCAACTAAAAAATGACCAGGAGTCAAGTAACAGAAATCCTCCATATTATCATTCAATGGAGCGATTGGTCTTTAATTTATCGAAGCCTCAATTCTTGTAAGCAAGGTATAAAATTCCTCATGAGTTAATTTATGTAAGCCGATTATTCTACGCAAGTGATGCTTTACACTTTTAACCCCTGCCTCCCACAATCCACCAAAGTGAGGAGCGTTAGGGGGTACGAAGTGCCAGGAAATTCCATCGGTATTAATTCTATCTTGGAAATCTTTGTCACCCTGTACTTTGATCATTGCATTTTTTAAATCATTATTAGCTCCAACAAAATTCTTTGCGTTATCACTATACAAGTGAGCGGGCTTTCCCCGACGAGACACGAAGCGGTGTAAAGCAGCTAAAAAGGCTGCCGATGAATAATCAGAGACAAGTTCGAGATAAATTGAGCGTGTAGAACAACAAATAAATAAAACGATATAGGTTTTTTGACTTCTAATCCCTCTTCCTGAACCAAATCTAACATCAAAAGGACCAGCATAATCTATACCTGTGTGAGTAAAGGGGCGAGAAGGAGTAAAAATCAGGTAGATTTCCCATAAGTTGTTGGGGAACTTCAGCCTGCTCTCTAACACAAGTAACACAATTCCTTATTATTCCTTTGACCAATGACCTTGCTCTAATAATCCAAAAATTCTGTCTCAAGACATGTAAACTTAACTGTAGTCCACCGTGTAAAGATCTAAGGTGTGCATGAGAAGCAATTAGGTTGCTTATACAATGTCGGGGTAAGATGATTGGATGTTTTTCATCGAAACTAATAGGAGCATTTGCAAGTCTTCCGCTAACTCTTAAAATCCCATTTGAGTCCAAAAAGGGGTGTAAATTTTTAATAGTTGATTTGCTATTCAATGATTCTTCCTTGGTAAGAAGTTTCATTTCAGTTGAGAAAAACTCAAATTGAATTTTCTTAATCCAAAAATCTCTTGACCAATTAATTTCTTTAGCAGTTAAACATTGTGAAGTTACAAGGTAATGGCTTTGTCCTGGATGAGCAAACTTTTGAATAAAACAAAAAATAAAACGTTTGCAATAGGCTGTAACTCTTAATAATTTAGGCCAAGAAGAAAATTTACTTGTGATTTCCAAGACAAAATTATCATGGCTCAGAACATGAAAGCTTGCAAGTTTTTGTTCTAAATCAATCTCGGAAGAAACCAAAGGTGGTTCCAAAGAACGTTTAACAAAGCTTTCAATAAGCCAAGGTGGACCTTTCCACCAAAGAGAGTGGTTCAAGAATTCTGATACCGTAACTCCGCGAGAAATACAATCAGAAGAATTTTCTTTAGTAGGAATATAAAACCATTTAGCTTCAGGAAGTAACTCATTAATTAGAGCCACTCGATTTGCAACGAAAGATCTCCAAGTAGATGGGTGCTTACTAATCCAAGCCAAAACGACAGTGGAATCCGTGTGACAAAAAATAGGTAAATCTTTCAAATTCTCTAAAGTCCTCACAAATTTTAAAATTTTAGCAAGAAGAACCGCACCACATAATTCCAATCTAGGAATACTAACAGGTGAAAGGGGGTCAACTTTAGATTTAGCAAAAAGAAGAGATACTCTTACTGCTCCAGATTCATTCATCAATCGCAAATATACACAAGCTCCATAAACTCTGCTGGAGGCATCTGAAAATCCATGTATTACTCATTTTAGTTTGTCCTGTCCACCTTGCAATTTTAAGATCTTCCAATTTCTTCAATGAAGAATAGTAATCAAACCAAGTTTTCATTAAATCACTCGGAAGTTGCTCATCCCAATCTAGTTTACGAAGCCATAACTCCTGAATTAACATTTTTCCAACGACAACCACAGGAGCTAACCAACCAAAAGGATCATATAATTTAGCAATAGTAGAAAGAACTTTCCTTTTAGTTGGATTAGTAAATTCCTCACAAGAAACTTTAAACTGAAAAACGTCAGAAATTGGGTCCCAACATAAACCTAAAACTTTCAATTCAATATCTTTATCAAAAGGGATTTCTATGGCTCGTTCATGTTTTCCCTTTGGAGAATTTTCCAATAAAATAGCATTGTTAGAAGCCCATTTGCGTAGATGGAAACCACCACATTTCATTAAATTTATAACTTGTTCTTGTTTTTGTTTAGCTTCCTCTATATCGTCAGCTCCAAATAAAGCATCATCAACATAGATGTCATTCTCAAGAATTGACCTAGCTAATGGAAAATTATCACCCTCATCCTTAGCCAATTGTTTAATAACTCTATTGGCCAAAAACGGAGCACAAGCAGTGGCATAAGTGACAGTCAATAATTGAAAAGCGACAACTCTATTTTCTGGTGAATACCAAAGAACACGCTGATAATCTAAATTTCTAGGATCAATTAAAATTTGTCTAAACATTTTTTCCGCGTCAGCTATATAAACGTATCGATATTCACGCCATCGCAAAACTATGGTAATTAAATCATTCAAAATCTTTGGACCAATGAGCATATGCGAATTTAAAGAGGTGCCATTAGAAGTCAGACTTGAGCCATTGACTACAACTTGAACAGCAGTAGTAGAACTGCTTTCTCTTATAACAGGATCATGGGGCAAATATACAATCTGAGAAACATCCCTTAATTCATCCTCATCAACAATTCGCATGTGACCTAAATTAATATATTCGGACATAAACTCTGAATACTGTTTAAATAATTCAGGTTTTTTACTTATGCGCTGCATTACTTTAGAAAGAATAACCTTTGCTCTCTCTAGAAAATTTCCAATAATAATAGGAGGATTAGTTTTAAATGGCAAACGCACCATATATTGACCAGAAGCAATTCTAGAATGAGTGTTCATAAAATGATTTTCACAACGCATTTCTTCATCAGTCATAGATAATTGTACTGGACTTTCTTCCAACTGCCAAAAACGAACTAAATCCTCATGTAAAGAATCAGTTAAAACACTAGTATGACTAGATAAAGAGGGCCTTAAATGTATATCATTTAAAATTGGACCGGACAAAATCCAACCAAAAATAGAAGCTTGAGCTGTTAAAGAACCCAAAATATTTTGTTCCAAACCTGGTAACAAACATTCGCCAAATTTATCTGCTCCTATTATAAAATCGATGCGCGAGTTACTGAAAGGATCGGGATCAGCTAAACATAAATTTTTTAATTTTAAATTATCCTTTAAATTATCACTTAAGGATGGACTGTAGGAGGTTAAATTTAACAAAACTAAGGCTTTTATTAATAAATAAGGACAACCCTTTTCCTTAGATAAAATTTCAAAATGAGCCAATTTTTTAGCTTCGACAATATTCATACCTCCCACTCCAAAGACAAGAGCATTAACTCGATCATAACGAGGATTTAAAATTTTAAAAGCTCTTTCTGAAACAAAACAACACTCTGACCCCTGATCAAGTAAAATTCTAAATTTGTAAATTCTACCGCCATCCACCTTTATTTTAACCAGAGCAGTCGCTAAGAGAGTTCGACTCAATAAACCAGTCTGTATATTTAAAAAATTAGTATTATCATTAGGATTTAAAATTTTTACATGATTTAAACTAACTGAATTTGAACTCTTACCCCCTGGTTCGTAGCAAGTTAGTTGATTTCCAACAACTGATTGAGAGTTTGCCATTGTTTTTTGATCTGAAATTAAATTACAATCAGCTTTCACATTAAAATGTAACAAAGTATTATGTTTACGTTGATATTTAGAACATTTTGATTTACTGAAACACGAAGAGGGTCTATGACCGGGAGACAAACAATTAAAACAACAATGATTTCGCAATACAATTTCTTTTCTTTTTTCGACCGGAAGCTCCTTAAATTGATTACATTTACTTAAAAAATGATTTTCTTTGCACAATAAACATTTAGGACTGGCAGATGCAACGTGACTTTTAGTTACCTGCTGATTTGAATTTTTTGCTTTATCTGAATTCGAAATTCTTGAAGCTTGTATTGCTTCTAGAGCACGTATACGTATAAGGATATTCAGTACTTGAACCAAGTTGCATTTCCCATTCCTTTAATGACCAAGAATCTAATTTTTGTGAAATTATAAAAACTAATATATCACTTAACTCGTCAACCGGACGATTAATATTTTTTAATGCTAAAAAAGCCTAATTAGTTGTAACAATAAGTTTTTTCAATTCTTCCGGAGAATTATTACTCACTTTAGAAATATTCATGAAAGAAGCAAAATGTGAATTTATAATAGCACGCTTATTATCATATCTGGATTTTAATATATCCCAAGCAACACTAAAATTAGCTTCTGTGACTGATACATGCTTCAATAATTAAATTGCTTCTCCCTTTATAGAAGTCTTTAAATAATGAAGACGAGCAATATTTGACAAATTTTTATTTTGAATTATTAAAGCGTCGAATAAATCGCGAAAATTTTCCAGAAAACTCCGGTAAAGTAATTTGAGGCAATCTAACATGAAATGAGTCAGATCGAATTGACGTTTCAAAAGCAGAAGTATTGACTTGAGAGAACGGAGTCATGTTAAAAATCTGGGTATTTAAAAAATCAAATGCTTGCAAATAAGCTTCTTCCAATTTTAAAAAATCTTTTTTTACAAAATATTCCTGCTTTAATTTTTCTTTTAACGTAGCTGAAGTTTGCAATTTCAAGTAAAATGCTGGAGCTGTGGCCCATCGTTGATTCAATAATTCTAAACGACCCTTAACTACAGACAAATTTACATTTGCTTTACCAATTTTCTTATAATTAGTCTCAGTACGACAAATATATTGATATGTCTACTCAATTTCAATAAATAAACTTTCCATTTTTATACAAAAAAAAAGATTTAATTAATAAGAAAAAATAAGACAATAGCGAAGTCTCAATAATTACATACAAAACAGTATAAAACTGTCACCAATAATAATAAATAATAAAGCAAGTTTTAATTTATATAATTTAAAATGATCGACTTTAAGGGGACTTTCTGGTTTAGAATTGACAAAAAAGGAAGGTTTTAAAACTTTTATTGTAAGAACAGTATTAAAGAAATTGTAAAAACTATTTTTGGACATTGTAGCACATTGCGTAGAGAAAATTTAAAAAATATGTTTGAGTGTATTTAGTTCAATTTCATAGCTGTAGGTGGCGTCTTCCAAAAGATACCTTTTTTCTGGTACGTTAGTTTCCGGGCAACCTGTAATACATAAATTCAAGTTCCAAACGGGAATCTCTTCATAAGGATTTATTCTTGTGCCTAAACCTCAAAAACGATTTTTTTTAAAGGTTTTTTTATTTTATATGTACATTTTTCTCAAAAACTCGCAAAAACGCCGTGTTTTTGGGTCAATTTACCTCCATATAAAAACACAGGCGGTAGAAATATGAGTTTTTAGAGGTTTAGGCACCAGTTTTTTAAATAAAGAATCGAAAAATTTTTGGGATTTCAAAATCGGTTTAGTAGATTTCGAGAAAAGCTCTGTACCAGTTTGAAAAATGAGTTTTCGAGAAAAACGCGTTTAAAGTTTTCATAACATAATTCATTGAGTCATGAATATCAAACAACTTTTTATTACAACAGAACTTCGTATCCCGCTGTTTTTGGGGTCGCTGATTACGAATTTGATGTCCGTTTTGGAAAATCCAAAATGGCGGATCCAATATGGCGGACGAAAAAATAAAAATTCAACCGGATTTGCTTAAAACTTGCTACTCGGGGGTTTTTGGGGTCGCTGATTACGAATTTGATGTCAGTTTTTTAAAATACAAAATGGCGGATCCAATATGGCGGACGAAAAAATAAAAATTCAACCGGATTTGCTCAAAACTTGTTACTCGGGGGTTTTTGGGGTCGCTGATTACGAATTTGATGTCCGTTTTTGAAAATACAAAATGGCGGATCTAATATGGCGGACGAAAAAATAAAAATTCAACCGGATTTGCTTAAAACTTGCTACTCGGGGGTTTTTGGGGTCGCTGATTATGAATTTGATGTCAGTTTTTGGAAATTCAAAATGGCGGATCCAATATGGCGGACAGTATTACTTTCAAAATTGATAATGAAGTATTTGATTCAAACGCAATGCTTTAAGATTTTGAACATATGCTATTCATTCAACAATATCTGCTTTTGGTAGCCCGCAATAGCATATCTTTAGATTCTATAGCATTTTTTTTCAGTGCATATGTATTTAAAACGTTCCTAGAACGTTAATGTTTTGTGCCTATATTCATAACTAGCAATCTCAAAAGGCCACAAGTAACCATTTTCAACTAAATTTAATTAATTTCCTAATCTTTGTCCGCCATATTAGATCCGCCATATTGTATTTTTAAAAACTGACATCAAATTCGTAATCAGCGACCCCAAAAACCCCCGAGTAACAAGTTTTAAGCAAATCCGGTTGAATTTTTATTTTTTTGTCCGCCATATTGGATCCGCCATTTTGTATTTTCAAAAATTGACATCAAATTCATAATCAGCGACCCCAAAAACCCTCGAGTAACATGTTTCAAGCTAATATCAATAAAAGAGGAACACCAAATATGTAAATAAGATAACTGTAGATTGTTGTTGAAATACATACCGTCATAAATATTGTTATAACTTTTGTTTTTGTACATATTTTTTAAAAATCGTTTTGGGACAGTAATTCTATGATACTAAGGAACATTTTTAAGCAAAAAAAAAAAATCGATTTTTTTGAAATTCTAAACCAGAAAGTCCCCTTAAATGAAACAAAATATTTTTTTTTCATTTAAATTAAAATCTCAATATATATTAAATTACAATAAATAGTAATAATTGAGAAATTTTATTTCAATTTTCTATGATGAGTTTAATCGCTGTGAATGACAGAAAATGTCAAAACAAACATTATATTAAATATCAGAAATTCGACTGACAAATATACAGGCAAAACAAAGAAGAGAGAAGACTTTTCGTCTGAAGTGAGATAGCAAATTACTTGCGCAATAGATCTCGATAGACCATGCAGAAAACGTACGACTTCTCCTTAAACCCCTCTTCTCATTAGCGACATCCCTTGCATCATAATCAGCTGGGCAAGAATCTGAGTTGACCTCAACGTAAGCATGTTCAGCGAACGCATACTATTACAGCTTGGCGGGAACAATTTCAGCTTGGCGTGGGTCAAACAAAAAGTAGATTTTAGAAGAGGAAGTAATTGAATTTTATGCTCTTCTAATGTCCCTTTTCACTCATCATAATCAAATTCTTTTAGACTTTTTGTCGATCAATAATAAAAAGCGAGGAAGGCTTTAATTATGTTAATTGTTCAATGATGCTACAATAGTTCCAACCGTTAACCACTTGCACAATCAACATCTTAAACATTAAATTAATCCAGTTTATTGCACTTTTATTCACACCACTATCCGGCTCGAAGGACCATGTTTAAAATCGAGATTTAATAATTAATAATGTTTCTCGAAAAGGAAAACACTGAATAGGGAGTAGTCAATAAATAAAATATAGTTTTTACACAAACTTAACAATAATTTATTATAAAAGATTAAAAGTTTAAGATGCAGCTAAAATCACTTAAGTGGTTAAATAAATAAATAAAAGTCTAAATTTAGTTAAAATGTTGGTCTTTAAAAGAGGCATCACTTTTGTTTCGTTTCACAATCAACCACCATCCTCGCACACTTGCTAATACTAATATTCTGAGAAGCTTTACAATTCCACGAAACGCAACGAAGAAACAGACAGCATGGATATAGTATAATTTAAGGGGTAAAATTCACTCTCAGAATCATTCTTAAACAATCAGAATAATTAATACTTTGAGATGGCTTTTTGAGAACCCTTCTCCTTGTAGACCACACCAAAGGTTTTTCAACATTAATACTGAAATAAATTGTTTACCTTTAGATTGTCAATGAAAATTAATCTTTTGAGTCGTTTTTTTTTGCAGTCAGGGGTCTCCGTCCCCGTACCTCCTGTCCAGGGCTCTACCTCTGGACCCCGTCGGGGGAGCCGCCCGCGCGACAATGTGGGAATGTTGTATTTAAATAAATAATTAATATTTATAATAGTTTCCCATTATAGTGTTAGGGATAATTGACACACAATTATTTGAAACTCAACAAATATAAATTTATTATTATTAATTGAGGGTTCACGTGCAATAAGGGGACGCGCAGGCTATTCGTTGTCCTCTCGCGCAGCCGCAGATTCGCTATACGCGGGGACTTTCACTTCCATGCGTATCCCCTTATTGCACGTGAACCCTCAATTACTCTAATATCTTGTTACAGAAATATACTATAGTCGTTTGCATGGTCTCGAGACTCTTTTTACAATGAATACACTCTGTTAATTACTTTATGAGGTCCCGAATATAGTGATTCTAATGACTTTTTAACTCCTCCCCGTTTTAAGAAAACGTGTGAACATGAATTTAGATTTTTATAAACAAATATTTTCCTTTTATGTCTATGTTCGACTGGAATTGGCTTTACAAGTTTAATATGTTCACGAAATTCTTCAAGAAATGTTTGCTAGTTAGGATTAAACTTCTCAGAGAGAACAAATTATCCTGGGATTTTCAAAGAAGTCCCATATAAATATTCAGCGGGTGACGCCCCCGAATCGAAAACATTTGTTCTTAAACCAAACAACACGGTCGACAACACGCGAGTCAATTTTTCATTGCCATTGCACATTATGGCAGCCTATAGGGTGCTATACAATCGCTCGATTAAACCATTCGCGGCGGGGTGATAAGCCCTGGTACGAATTCGCTTACATCCCGACAAATAAAGTAATGATTTAAAAATTATGGACTCGAATTGGCTCCCCTGGTCCGTCGTAAGACTTTCAGGAGTTCCAAAGCGAGAAATACATCCGTCCACGAACGCACGATGAATAGTTAACGCCTCTATGTCTCTCAACGGAATTGCCTCGATCCAACGCGAAAACTGATCGATCATCGTGAGGCAATATCTAAAGCCATCACACGAAGTCATCTGTCCAACAATGTCGATGTGGACATGACGGAATCTATCCTCGGGAGCAATGAACTGTGAAGGCAAAAGAATATTATGTCGAGATACCTTTGACTTCTGGAAAGGCAAACATTCTCTACACCACTCTCGAATGTCCTTATTCATGCCTGGCCATATATAGATTTTTTTAATACTTCTGTCTGAAACTTTAGCGCTAGGATATGCTGGTCCATGAAATATGTCAAATACATGCTTTCAAAAAACTTTCGGGACATAAGGGCGCAAAATTTCTCCTGACAGATCGCAAACTATTGGGGTGTGATCAGGACCCTACAGAATGCGCTTTTAATTAATACAGGTAGATTCGTTTTGACAAAGAGTTTTAAGTTTTAAATCTTCATTCTGCGCAACTGATAAATCTAATAAACTTACATTCGATGCCAAACGTATAAGGTCAACTGGGGACAGACAACCCGCAACCACATTTTTTTCTCCAGGTAAGTATTCTTAGGAAGTCGTAAATTGAGATATGTATGATAATTGTCTCAATTGTCTTGGGGAAGCTTTGTCGGATTATTGGGTAAAAGCATATATTAGAGGCTTATGGTCCGTGACCAAGGAAAATTCTCTACCCTCGACGAAGTGCTGGACATATTTTATCGATTCGAACTCTACGGTCAGCTCCCTATCATAGGTACTATATCTTCTCTTTGCGATGGACTTAAACTTCGGGAAGAGAATGCCAAGGGCTTCCAACAACCGTTCTGAAATTGTTCCAAGGAACCTACTATACCCTTATCGGACGCGTCCGTTACGACACGAGTCGGGGAAGTAGATGATGGATGCACGAGAAGTGCAGCATTCACAACATTCGCTCGACAATCCTCAAAGGCTCTTTCCGAATCTGGATTCCAATAAATCCCTCTTTTATCGTTTTTCTTTGAATCATGCAGATATGCATTCAAAACTCTCTGACAATCAGCTGCTCGAGGTAAACATTTCTGATAAAAACTTATTAACCCTTTGAGTCTCACCTTTTCCTTCTCAGTTTTCAGTATTTCTATGGCATATTTATTAAGGGGACTTTCTGGTTTAGAATTTCAAAAAAATCGATTTTTTTTTGCTTAAAAATGTTCCTTAGTATCATAGAATTACTGTCCCAAAACGATTTTTAAAAAATATGTACAAAAACAAAAGTTATAACAATATTTATGACGGTATGTA